CATGTCATTATTCAGCAGCCTGCCATCCTCTGCCAACCTTGGGACTTACAATGGACTTGAATTAATGGCCTGCCATGTGGTTTGGTAACATCAGGACTGTGCCTTTTTACTTGTCAACCTTGGGCTTCTCAGCCTCAGTAACCAGCAGCTGTCTGAGTGAAGAAACTCCTCTAGCTTAGGTGGGCTGTGAGCTGGAGGCAGAGCTGAAGCGCAAGGCTGAGGGGCTTTCAGCCAGCTCCTAGAGCCTGGCCCTTTGAACTAGGACTTAAAGCCTCCAAACTGTAAGAGAATGAACTCCTGTTTGTTAAGGCCATTGCATTTGTGGTATATTCTTGTCAGAGTGACACTAGGTAATCAGAACAACATCTTTCTGGTATTCTTTGCTTTGAGCTAAGATCCATCTGATATCAGCACTGATATCCCTCATTCCACATGCTCTTCTGAATCCAGCTTGCATTGCTGGAAGTTCTTTGTCAATACACTGCTGCAACCATTTTTGAATTATCTTCAGTAAGATTTTACTTGTGTGTGATATTAATGATATTATTCTATAATTTCCACATTACGTGGAATCAACTTTCTTTAAAATGGGTACAAATATGGATCTCTTCCAATCAGTTGGCTAGGTAGCTGTCTTCCAAATCTCTTGGCATAGCCGACTGTCTCCAGTGGGGCATCCATTTGTTGAAGCATCTCAATGGGTATTCCATCAATTCCTGGAGCCTTGTTCTTTGCCAATTCCTTCAATGCAGCTTCAACTTCTTCCTTCAGTACCATTAGTTCTTAAATGTATTCCACCTCCTGAAATGGATGAAGATTGACCAGTTCTTTTTGGTACAATGACTCTGTGTATTCCTTCCACCTTCTTTTGATGCTTCCTGCATCATTCAATATTGTGCCCATAGAATCTTACAATATGGCAACTCGAGGCTAAATTTTTTTCCTCAATTCTTTCAGCTTGAGAAATGCCGAGTGTGTTCTTTCCTTTTGTTTTTCTAACTCCAGATCTCTGCACATTTCATTATAGTAATTGGTTTTGTCTGCTCTAGCTGCTCTTTGAAGCTTCTGTTCAGCTCTTTTATCTTGTCATTCCTTCCATTTACTTTAATTACTCTCCAGTCAGGGGCAAGTTTCAGAGTCTATTCTGACATCCATTTTGGTCTTTTATTCATTTCTTGTCTTTTTAATGACCTTTTTCTTTCTTCATGGATGATGTTCTTGATGTCATCCCACAATTTTTCTGGTTTTAGTCATTGGTGTTCAATGCATCAAATCTATTCTTTAGGTATTCTCTGAATTCAAGAGGGATGTATTCAAGGTCATATTGTGGCTCTCATGAACTTGTTTTAATTGTCTTCAACTTCAAGTTGAACTTGCATATGAGCAGTTAATGGTCTGTTCCACAATCAGCTCCTGGTCTTGTTAGGCTAAAGATATTGAGCTTTTCCATTGTCTCTTGCCACAAATGTATTCAATTTGATTCCTGTGTACTCCATTTGGCAAAGTCCACATGCATAGCCACTGTTTATGTTGTTGAAAAAAGGCATTTGCAATGAATAAGTCATTGGTCTTGCAAAATTCTATCATGTTATCTCCAGCATTATTTCTGTCACCAAGGCCAAATTTTCCAACTACTGGTGATTCTTTGTTTCCAACTTTTGCATTCCAGTCACCAGTGATAATTAACACAGCTTGATTGCACGTTCTGTCAATCTCATACTGCAGAAGTTGATAAAAAAAAATCTTCAATTTCCTCATCTTTGGCTTTGGTGGTTAGTGTGTAAATCTGAATAATAGTAGTACTAACTAGTTTTTCTTGTAGGCATATGGATATTATTTTATCAGTGCCAGCATTGTACTTCAGGATGGATCTTGCAACATCCTTTGTGATGATGAATGACATGCCGTTCCTCTTCAAATTGTCATTCCTGACATAGTAGATCATATGGTTGTCTGATTCAAAATGGCCAAAACTGGTACATTTCAACTTATTAATGCCTAGGATATCAATCTTTATGCGTTGTATTTCATTTTTGAAAACTTCCAATTTTCCTAGATTCATACTCTGTATATTCCATGTTCCAATTATTAATGGATGTTTGCAGCTGTTTCTCCTCAATTTGAGTCATGCCACATCAGCAAATGGAGGTCCCAAAAGTTTTGCTTTATCCATATCATTAACATTGGTTCTACTCTGATGAGGCAACTCTTTCCCAGTTGTATTTTGAGTGCCTTCTGACCAAGAGGCTCATCTTCCTCCTTGTATCTGACAGTGTTTCAGGGCTCTTCATAAAGTTGCCCAGTAATGTATCAGACAGTGTTTCTCTGCTATTCATAAGGTTTTCCCTGGCCAATTCTTTGAGAAATGGATGGCCTCTTCCTTCTTCCTAGTCTGTCTCAGTCTGTAAGCTGCACTGATACCTGTGTACCATGTGCAACCCTGCTGGCATGAAATGGCATCTCATTGCAGTTTTGATTGTGTTTCTCTGATGGCTGATGATGTTGAGCATCTTTTCATGTATCTGTTGCCATTTGAGTATCCTTTTAATGTCTTCTCATGTCCTTTTTCCAGGTTTAGATTGGGTTATATGTCTTCTTATTGTTAACTTGCAGAAGTTTTTCTGTGTATTTCAGTTATTAGTCCATTATTGGTTATGTTGTTCCCAAAGATTTTTTGCCACTCTGTGGGTTATCCTTTTATTCTTTAGATACAGTCTTTTGAGGAATATATTTAACTTTTTTGAGGTCCCAGTTACCTATTTTATTTTCTGATTTTGTGCACTCATTGCTGTGTTTGATAATGTCTCATTGAAAAAATTAGATCCCAAAGTCTTGCTCCTACATTTTCTTCCAAGAATTTTATGATTTTAGATTTAACATTTAGGTCCGTGTTCTATTTTGAATTTTTTTTTTTTTATGGATAGCATGATATATGGATCTTGTTTCATTTTTCTGCATGTGGAAATCCAGTTTTGCCAGTATAGTTTGTTAAAGAGATTGTTCCTTCTCCATTAAATGGATTTGGCCCACTTGTATTATTTATTTCTGAGTTTTCAATCTGTTCCATTGGTCTTTGTGTTTGTCATTAAACCAGCAGCAGCCTGTTTTGATTACTATAGCTGTGCAATATGTTTTTAAATCAGAAAGTGTTAAGACCTCCTACTTTGTTCTACTTCTTTAAAATCACTTTGGCTATATTTTTAAGTCTTTTGACTTCCATATAAAATTGAGGAAAACTTTTCCCATTTCTATAAATTGTGCTGGCAGAACTTTGATCAAGATTGTGCTGTAACCTTAGATCGCTTTGGGTATGCATCAGAGCCTTTTAAAAAGCATTCTGAATTGTTTTAAAATAGATTTTCAGGTAGCCAGAATTAGAGACTTCTTATCAGATAAATAAACCAGGTGAAGGTGTTATTTCCATCTGTGAAACATATGAATAAGAATCAAATTCATGTGTGTATGTGGAAATAGAGAGTCAGAGAAAGAAAATTAGGGAGAATGAGAGTTTGCATTTGTACATAAATTTTTTAATTAATATAAAATATTGTGATAAAATACTTTACAATTGCTCTGCTTATTTTTCTTTCAAAATTTCTTTATAATCTAAGTTACCTTTTTTTTTTTAAATCTGGACATCTTAATTTACAAATGAAAGTTATATTCAAAATCAGTGTTTCAGAATTCAGATTCCAGTAGAGTTGTCTTTTAATTATCTGTATATGGATCATCCATGGCAGCTATTAATTGCAGACTTTTTCCTCCACTAGTGTTCTTCCAGCTTCTTTTCCCTGAGATTCACTGAGCTAGGCCAAGATATATTAAATTAGGGTAAAATAAGCTTTAAAATTTTGGAACTTGGTGTGTGGAGTTTCCTCAATGCTGTGCTTCTTCTGTGTCATAGATAAGCCAAAGTTGATCCTACTACCACTAGTGGAATTGGCACATATGAGCAGTGAATTACACATAGGGTGTGTATTTTCCCTCCTTTCTGCTAACGGAAGATGCACTAGGATTTAGGCCTGAGAAAATATCCGCAGCGTTTATGTCTCATTTACAAGTCATTTATTCTTCCAGCTTATCTCATATTTCATATTTCATGTTAGTGCTAAGGTGGAACACCAAAGCCTGTATCAGACTTCTTAGCATTGCTTCAACATTTGCTTTTCTTACCATTTATAGATATTTAACAATCTATCAGTTTCACTTCAGAATCATTTGCTCTGAAGAGAGTAATACCTTGGTCTTTGAGAAGTTAATGTTTACAAAATCACTGTCCCAAGACTATTTATTTCTAACTTGATTCCAGATCTTGGTTCTTAAAATAGAACTCTGGGTAGGACACTGACAAAGCCTGCTAAGACAATCAGTGTGAGCTTTTGTGGGCATAAGTTATGGGAAACTGACATACAATAAATAAAATAGATGGCCAGAATGCATTTCCAAGTGTGTCATATTCTGTGGAAGGGATGATTCACTGCAGTAAATATATATGCGAGTTCCATTAGAATTTATCTTTAATTCTCACTTAAAATATTTTGAAAAGCAATAATGAAGATACTTTCATTATGCAAAATACAAATTTTATTGCTTCTTCTTGAGGCTAAATTTAAAACATTCACATAAAATTGGAAAAAAAAATTATAGTGCTAGCAGTAAGTTTAAAAAACTGTGTTGACAAGTTTTAGTAATAAAGAAAATTCACTAGAATACCTGGACACTGTGTGTTTATTTCCCCTGAAAGAAATGCAGAAATACAAACAGATATTCATCCAGATGTGGTTGATTCCCCTCCCCCCACATCGCATTATCAGCCATTAAGAAACATACAGTCAAGTTGGATAGATATTTCTTGAAATGAGGCATGGTATGCAGTGCATGCTTTCATTGTGCTTCCTGCCATTATGGAATAATGTGTCTTATTTGAAAGACAGTGATCATTGCTGCTAAATCATGTTCGGCCAACTTATATAACACTGATATTTTGTGAATCATTTCAGATTTCAGAGAGCTATGCTTTCCTACCAAGAGAAGTGGTGACATGATTTCTAAAGAGCTGCTCAGAGTGCCAGAAAAGAATGCATTTAAACCCAGATGGAACAGATCATAAAGGTAGCTGCAGTCTCAAATAGTGAGATTAAAAGTAATTGTATTCATAATGCCAATTTATGTCTCACAATTATATAAAAACAGGATAGACTACAACACTTCAACAAGTCAGATCATCTCATGTATTCAAGTAGGAAGCAGTAATTTTGACTATCCACCTACACAGTGATTCAGTGTCCACTTTCAGAAGAAAGATGATTTCAACTGTAGCAAATAACGTTTTTCTTATAATAGTGTTTTAATTTTCATTTACTGTATGTATTCCATGGTATTTTATAGAGAGTCCATAAGAAAATTGGTGTTCTACTAATGCATTTTTAAATGGACCAATTCCTTATTTCTTAAAATGATGAATAACATGAAATGCATTCACTGAAAATATTGACCTAAAGTTATAAATAATTGGATGCAGCTTTTGTGAACAAGCATCTAGATTATTTTCCTAGTCTAAGAATTTCTCTGTGGGTTTACATTAATCTCTGAAGTACATTTAATTTAGGCCATTCCCATGTATTAGAGGATGAGTGGACTGGCTAAATTAAATTAAATTAAATTAAAAAGTTGATTTCTTTATACATTAGGAAGTACACATAGAAAATAATTCTGCAGCAAAGGAGAAAAGTAGAACTAATTGTATTTAATCACTGTTGTTCACTACACGATCTTATTCATTGTTACACAGCATAGTAGAAACATCTCTAGTAGTTGTAAATAATTTATCCATGATGCTAATTTGTCTTAATATGGCTTTGTAGAAGCTTAACAGTTATTTTTTCTACAATTCATCTGTAATTCTACCTAGCACTAGAGCACTTGATGTCTAGAACCCTACCTATTTCAATTCGGAGAAATTGCATCAATCTGAAATTACAGGTGGAGTGCAGTTTCTCTTTCATTACCCATTAAAAATGTTTTATTACAGATAACGGAAAACCTCCCACTTTGGTGACCAGCATGATTGACTACAACATGCCAATTACCATGGCCTATATGAAGCATGTGAAACTGCAGCTGCTAAACTCACAGCAAGATGAGGTAACATGGAAACATCTACCTTTATAAATCAGAATGAAATGTGATAACCATGACTATTGTACTAAGCATGATGGCATTTTGAAAAGTGTAATTTGTTTTGTAATGAAAGAATGTCTCCAAAATTGTACAGATGGAGAAAATGGGTAGAGACTTCTAGTCCTGGATGGAGAGTGACTGTCTTAACACACCTCTGCTTTTGTGCTACAGGGGAACTTTATTACTCCCCAAAAAGTATCATTTTCCTTTTCTATTGAGCTTGCTTTGATAAAGAAAGTTAAGGGGAAAAAGGTTTAGAAAGTATCCCAAGTAAGTGAGCATCCAAGACAATGTAGATGCTAAGGTTATTTTGCCTGAAAATCAAGAAAGTCAGTTAATTAGTTCAAGTATAATCATTTCTTCACTGTCTAAATCTTACATGTATTTTAAAGTTATTTTTCAGTTAATCACTATCCTATATATTTATTTGCCTATTTTGCTCAATTTACTGGAGACGATTTGTGATGATATTTTTGATTAGAGGTATTTTGATGTTTCAAATTATTGTTTTCCATTTGTATTATAAAAATCTAGCAATGTACTGGCATGCATTAGACACTAGATGCATTTAAAAAAAAATACTGTAGGCCTCTAGTTTTCTCCCTATTTTTGTTAGAATATCTCAAAGGCTGGCTTAAGAACAGCAATGATTCTGAGGATGGTGCAGGACTGGGCAGTGCTTTGTTCTGTTACATGTAGGATAATATGAGTCCAAATCGATTTGGCAGCATCTAATAACAACAAGCTAAATATGTGCTCTGTTCCCCTTAAAATATAGCAGCAGAGACACACAATAAAGGCTTGGTAAATTCTTTCAAACTACTTAGTAGCTATCAATTACTGGAAACATTCAGACTATATAAATTAAGTTTTTTAGGTTAATAAATTCTCTCAAAATATTTCTGGAGTAGGAAATGAAATGAAATATTTATTTTCCACATATAGCATTATTTGGCAAAGTGGTGGCATAGTGCCTAAGGCATTTGACTGCTAACCAGAATGGCGGTGGTTCAAACCCACCAGCCCCTCCTCCGTAGGAAGATTGAGCAATCTACTTCCATAGAGATACCACCTTGGAAACCCAAGGAGGGGTCACTGTGAGTCAAATCAACTTGAATTGGGAGCTCTGGTGGCATAGTGCCTAAGGCATTTTACTGCTAACCAGAAGGCTGGAGGTTCAAACCCACCAGCCACTCCTCAGAAGGAAGGTTGGGCAATTTACTTCCGTAGTGATATCACCTTGGAAAATCAAGGAAGGGTTGCTATGAGTCGGATCTGATTCAATGGCAGTGAGTTTGGTTAGTTTTTTTAATAAACTAATTGTTGTTGTTGTTGTTATGTGCCGTCGAGTCAAACCCGACTCATAGTGACCCCTCCTTGGGTTTCCGAGGCAGTATCACTACAGAAGTAGGATTGCCCAACCTTCCTTCCGAGGAGTGGCTGGTGGGTTTGAACCGCCAGCTGTCTGGTTAGCAGGCAAGTGTCTTAGCCACTATGCTACCAGAGCTCCTAATTAGAGTAGTCAAATATTTGTAGCACGCTCATTCAGATGTTGATGTTTATTTCTAGGCCAAAAAGTAAGATCAACCTTGGGCTAATAATACAGCCCAAATCTGCTGAGTCTGGCTTCTAATAAATCATAAATATTTCACACACATGTACACATTTGGTGGGAGTTCTGGCGGTGTAGTGCTTATGGCATTTGACTGCTCCAGAAGGCCAGTGTTTCAAACCCTCCAGCCACTCCTCAGAAGGAAGGTTGGGCAATCTACTTCTGTAAAGATACTGCCTTGAAAACACAAGGAGGGGCCATTGTGAGTTGGAAACAACTCGACAGCAGTGAGTTTTTTTTTTTTTTTTAATATGCACACAAAAATAGATCCTTTAAAACGTATAACTACATTAGAGAATAATTCTTATTCTCATAACTCTGGTGGAGTAATACTTAAGGCATTTGACTGCTAACCAGAAGGCTGGCAGTACAAACCCACCAGCCACTCCTCATAAAGAAGATTGGGCAATCTACTTCTATAGTGATACCACCTCAGAAACCCAAGGAGGGGTCACTATGAGTTGGATCTGACTCGACAGCAGTGAGGTTGGTTTTCTTTTTTGGAAATTGGACATGTGTTGCCTTAAAAAAATCCAGACAAAATATCAGTTAGATTATTTACAAAATTTTAGAAATTGTGATTGCAGTAAGGTGGGGAGGAGGTTAAGTAAGGTCATCAGTCACATTAAAAGAGAATTCAAGTGAGATATTCCTTTGTGAGGAATTATATTTAAATTTTAATAAACATTAATTCAATTAATTCAATAGATGTTTATTGACTACTTTCTGTGTTCCTGGCACTATCAAAAATATTGAAGATAAGTGGATAAAATAAACGAACAAATTGACAAAAATCCCTCATGTAGCTTATCTTCTAGTGGGGGCAGACAGACAATAAAGACAATAAATAAATAAATAATATATATAAACCCATTACCATTGAGTTGATTCCGAATCATAGCAACCATAAATTAATTTTGTATATAAGAAGATGCTAAATGATATTAAGAGAAATGAAAGAAGAGGGTAATAAGAATCCCTTCAGGATTTGTGAGCTCAAATTTCAATATCTTCTGTGGAAAGGCATTACTTGAGTAGAATTGAAGGGAATGAGGCAGCAAGCTGTGCATCTGTTGGGGATAGAGTGCCAAGTCTTTAAATCAGGAGCACACTCCACAGTGAACAAGGGAGAGAATGATAGGAGAGATGTTTAGGGAGTGAAGCCAGGGCACCTAGGGTCTCATAGGCCATTATTAGAACCTTTGGCTTTCACTGTGAGTGAAATAGGGAACCATTGGCGGATATTCAGCAGAGAAATCATGTGATCTGATTTCTTTTTCAACAGAATCATGCTGGCTGGTTTGTTGAGACTAGACCTCCTAGGGGGATGCAAGGAGACCAGCAGGAAGTTATTGCATTAATCAGTTTGGCTAAAGAATTAACAAAACCCTTTTCCCTAGCTACATGAGAATTTGATCTTTGGTTAACTTTCTAGCTTCATTCCACAGTAAAACTGATAAAATTGAAATGTGTTATTAGACAAAATTTTTCTTCCAAAAATGATCCCCATTGGGGATCTTGGTTCATGTATCTTGGAACCATGTATCTTGGTTCAGTGAAACAAACAGTAAAGCACTCAACTATAGCCAAAAGGTTGGGAGTTCCAACCCACTTAGAGGTGCTTTCGAAGACACGCCTGGCAATCTGCTTTCAAAAGGTCACAGCCTTGGATACTCTATGGAGCAGCTCTATTCTACCCATGTGGGTCTGCCATGAATTGGAACCGACATGAAGGCAACTAACAACAAATGCCATCATCAGCCTATTGAGGCTTCCCTGAGTCCGATAATTCTTGTAATTGGCATGACCCTTGTGGAGACCTCGGAAGCTAGTACTATGGCGTTATGTGAGATAGTTTGTTCTTTGGGAATGGGGCTTCTTTGTCAGACTCCCAATCTACCCGATATGATTATTGTTTTTCACACCTAAGCTATCACAGGGAAAGATAAAGAAAATATCTCTGACTGACCATGTGAACTGCTGCATGACTATTATAAGAGCTCCCGTGAAAGAGAAATACTGATGCTGCCGTGTTGGCAAGCTGTTTTCTTTGCTACATCCTTCTAGATGAATCTGATCCTAAGATTGTCCTATGTTAGTCTTATGAATATGCATTTTAATTGGATCTAACAAGAGCTTCTAATGGCTATTGCAGGTTTCAGAAAGAAGATGATAGTGGTTTTCATCATAGATGTAGCACTGACATACTGAAAAGAGTAAAGATTATAAATATATTTTGAGATTTGCTGACAGACTGGATGTAGAGTATGAAAGAAATTCAAGAGTCAATGATGACTCTAAATTTTTCTAATCTGAGCAGTTAGAATAGAATTGCCGTTTACTGGTAAAAGTATGACTGTGGGTGGAAAAGATTTGCTATATAACATTAGAAATTCAGTTTGGGGCAGCTTGTTAGAAGTTGAAGTAGATTTAAGATGTTTGTTAGATATTCAAGTGCATTTGTCAATTAAGCATTCATGTGTAGAATTCAGAGGAAAGATCAACCTGGGCATATTATAATTAGGCATGACAGTACATAGTATTTAATGCCATAAGTGTGGAAGATATTGCCAAGGTAATGAGTATAGACTAAGGAGCAAAGCCCAAGGACTGAGACTTAAGGAACTTCAAACATTAAGACATCTATGAGATGAGAAGTAATCATCAAAAGAGACTGAGAAAAAGCAAGTAGTGTATTAGAAAAATCAGGTACATTTGTGAACTAGAAATAACTGAGTAAAGTTGTTCAAAGAGTAAAGAATGTTTATTGTGTTGTCAACTCAGCTGATAAGTCAATTTAGAAAAGGACTGAGAATTTAATTTTTATTTAGCTTTGTGGAAGTCGGTGGTGTTCTTGGCAGTAGCAGATTGAATGAGTTGAAAGCTTAGAGTAGGAATAAAAGTGAGTTGGGGACAGCAAGCTGTAAGAGTTTTGCTATGGAGGAAAGAAGAAAAGGGGGAAGTAGCTCAAAGGAGAATGAGATCAAGGGGTGCTTATGATTCTTTTTTTTTTTTTTTT